CAAAAACAGGAATAACTTCAATAGAAAAGAAGAGGCAATGAACATTAATCAAATCTAGCTACGTGTCCTTGATTGTCAGGTCAGGTCATCCAATTAAGAGAAACCAAGCGACTCCAACCAATAACAATATAAAACCGGAGTCAAATACCAGCATTGAAGTTTCTGCGTTGGTAGCAACGGGAACAATAACACATGCACCAACTCGAGCACTTCGACCGTTACCTCAGTGCCTTTGATAATATCCACCGCAGAAGTTAACGAACGTCAGGCATGAAAACCTACAGGCTCCGCCAAAAAAAAAAACGGAAAATACCTTTGGCACTATCCATGATAATAATTGAATAAAATAATAAAATGTTTCGCTAAACGGTGACTTCATCAGTTACTGGTACCTATATCAAACTATTTCACAATATGTTCTATATAACAGTAGATAATTATGCAACTTATCAGATAAATGATTAATTCTTGTAAAACAGGTAGATTTTGAATAAAAAATTAAGTACAAATCATTATTACTTCTAGAAAACAGGAAAAATATTGGCATTCTGTGTAAAAACCTTATTAGATGAATGATTGTTTCTGGCACGAGTATGTAATTTCAAAACGAGATTCACCGAACATAAAAGAAGCTTAAGAAAACTTTTTCCACGTATGCTTGCCAACTTTTAGATAATAACCAATATTTCAACATGGACTACGACATATTATATACAGAAAATTTAAAGAATATACTTGCTAGAATCTCTGGAAATCAATATACGCAAATATTAATTTTTTTCAAACGACTAAAAGAAAGCTAGTTATTCACCATTATTGAACTTGTTCTCATGAATTATCATTATGTAACATACTGAGGTACTCAGTTTTTCTGTTTTTCTGTTTTCTGTTTTCCTAGAAATTATATTATAATATTTTGTGCTTTTCAAATCTACCAGTTGTGCCAAAATTAATTGTATACCTAATTGACATAAAATGTCAATATTTCACCTGTTTCCTAGAAGAAAAATTCTATAATTACTCATTACTTTATAATTACTCATGGATAGACTTAATTCACCAGTTAAAACAGACTAGTAAATTAATTATCAGATATATGTATGATTACATGGTAAGAACGACTTCAGCAATAGAGAGTTATTCAAATCAGTTTTATCGTAACCTAGATTTTTGGAATTCTCTAGTATCTGAAAGGGAGGGTGAATGTCGACTCACAGCACTTAGGCCACATGTGACCCATTGTACATCCTCCCGAGGAGTTGTCCTCCTAGGTCATCGTCCATCCTGTCCTTTCCAGGAAGGTAAACAGGTCACTAGGAGACATATCCGTAATATTGGCAGGTGTACGCCAAGACTTGCCGAACACACACTCTCTTTGGCAACCTTGAGGTGTCTCACGGTGGCCTCCGCGAAGGTTTTGGAAGGTGCAGCGATATTACTGTCGTTGCGCGGCTTCTTCAACCTTCTTGGGGTTCCCTGCGTGGAGATGCACAAGTGAGGGAGCTTTCCTGCAGGGCCAGCCAATTCCTTGCCTTTATTCAAAGCGGAGCTCTTGGCGCCCGCCGCAGGAAGTGCCCTTGCTGTTGGAGATGATCTGCTATGTCCAGCCTCATTCCAAGCGGTAGATTGGGGTGGACATTTCTGTTCATCCCCAGCCACCGCCTTAGATTGAGGTGAGCACTTCTGTCCAGTCTCGGGATTGGTTTTTGTTGTTTCTGTTGTTTCATGCATGTGTGTTCCCACCAGTAGCATGGGAAGAGTTGGTCACCTCTGACAAAGCCCCGCATTATCAGAGGTAGGCTGATTACAATGAGGTTTCGCCCAGTTACCCAAGGGGATCGTTCGTGACCGCATATCACCCTGCGGCTATTCAGATGTCGGCACGATTCCTTACATCTTAGCTTGGGTAGGCTGGTCCTCAGTGGCATGTTTTGCAAAGGCTTTTGGGGGGGTTTTAGTTTCCCTCACCCTACTTATTTCTGCCACTGACCTGGAGTCCGACGACCCTGCCCGTAAGGCCACATTGGCTTTCCGGACAGAGCCTCCAGTCCCCTGGCCGTTCCCCTATCCGCCACCTGGGAACGTGCGCGATAGGTAGCCCAACCCACGGGAGGTATTTGGAATTATTGAATTTATTAATTTTTTTGCAGAAGGTTGACTTTCAAACACTTCTAGAATTGAAGAGTTTTGGATTCATGATTGGACTCATGAGTTCATTTTTCCATATTGGAAACTGTTTCTATGTAATATTCTTTTTTGTGCGTCTTGAATGTTCTTCCAGTTCGACTCAACGGACATGAACCACTGGACTATTTGAGAACTCCTAAACTATATCCATCCAACAAAAATAACAACCCAAACAAAGATAGATGCATGATCAAAGCATGATCCTCACGCGCACTTGCATCTATTGAGTAAAATAAACCAGCCTTCTTACGACACTGGCCGATCAGATTTAATTGCAATCGGCTGGCTGAATTCATGTTAGTGTCGAGTGGTCAGTTACGTTTTAACGCCTGTGATGAGTACATGTACGGTATCTAAAAGTTAAAAATTTTTAAATGTCAAGTAGGTACTGACACGGCTGAAGAAATTACTAATTTGTGTCCCTAGACTCCATTTAAAAATTTCCTATACCCAGCCGCATATTATTAAAAATTAATAAAATTTCGTCGTCAAGCAGCCTTGTCTGGGAGATCACGTGCACTTTTTTTTTGGAGCACTCCGTTGCTCAGATGGACATAGTATAATTTATCTGACACCAAACTCTTATCATTGTTATATTTAATATGCATATTCAAATTATATGATTAGTTTCAAATATCCTGTTTATGTCTTCATTTTTTTTTATCAAAACTCTTCCTAGGTTGATGCAAATAAGTTAATGTTTTGCATGATAATTCTTCTCATCTCTTAGAAACAATTTTTTCTTTATGACTTGATTTATGCAAGCCGGTTCTTTTATCATATGGTACACATTGCTATATTCTAAACCGTGACATATACAAGACGATTAAAAGAGAAAAAAAAGTAACTATCCTGGGGAGCAGTATAATGACCGAAGAAAATTCACAGGGACTTTCGCTCTTCTCAAGTTATAAAGGAAACTAAAAATGCCGTTTTTGTATTTTTACGAATATAATTATTATTTCAGAGAATATGAAAAATGGCAGAAGAAAGTTTTATTGTATTCAAAATATACTATAACGAAGTTACAAAATATTTTCGATTGAACGTTTCGTGTCACCACGCCAACCATCAACTTTTTTATGAAACACAGACCTCCTCCTAGAATTACAAAAATGTATAAAGCGATAAAATCATGATTGAGAGGTATATCACACTTTATGTGACATGATGGGCGTAATGAGTGATTTTTTTTTTATTTGAAGGTGGTTGAGAAAGTTTCATGGTGAATTTCATTAGTTCGGACTTCCATTGTCTAATATGATATAAAATGATTTGAAATCCCTGAAAGAACCAATAAAATTGAAAATTAAAATGAATAAATGAAAATAACGGTTATTTAAGCATAAACCCTGAAATGAAATTAAAATAAAATAAAAAAAATAAAAAATTGAAAATTTAACAGTTAAAAATAAATAAAAATCAAAATATATCAAGCCAAGTAACTTCACGATTGTTATTATCCACAATCGTCTTTGGGTAATAACTGGACTATTTCTCCGGGAGATGACTATTTATAAGTCATTCGAGTGCTTTCACCTATCCCATCTTCCCTCTCACCGCTTCACCGGTTCAGCGGAAAATGAGTTAACCATTTTCCGCTTAATTATGGGTTTCCATGTGTTGCGTATTTTTACACTAGCTTGGCTGAATGCGTTGTTGGACAACATATATGCGGCTTCTTTGAATTTTCTTCAGAACCAGTGTTTCTCTCTGTAGATGATCTCAGCTTGTTATGTTGATGAGTCCAAATATGCTCCGCTATTCCTGATTTGCTGGTTTCCCTCGCTGTGTGTGTTTCTTGTGCTCGGCAATGGGAACTTCCAAAGGCCTCTTAGTTTCACCGATATAGGATTTGCCGCACTCACAGGGAATCCGGTTAATGGCATTCTTGGAATCGCAGTCCGCGTTTGGTGACCTGGTTTTCGTTAGGCTGCTACGGATAGTGTTTCCGGGTCTGAAGCAGGTTCTGATGTTGAACTTGACCCCAATTCTTGTTATCCTTTCCGATAATCCTCTGATGTAGGGTCCACTGGTTGTGACGGCTTCCCTTCTTTGCGAGGCAAAATCTGTTCCATCCTCACTTTAGAGTAACCATTCCGTTGAAGATCATTTTTATGATGCCTAATTTCTTCTTGAGACCGTGTCCGAAAACACGATCTACTAGAGTCTTGATGATTCCTCTTTTACTCGATTGACGGTGAAGTTCCTTGGCTTGAAATCTTTTAATTTTCAATTTTATTCAATTTTTCATTTGTGTTTTATTTTATTGTTATTTCATTTCAGGGTTTCTGCTTAATATAATTGTTATTTTCAACTATTATTTCAGTTTTCAATTTTATCGGTTCTTTCAGGGATTTCAAATCATTTTATATCATATGAGACAGCTGGTCGTGCTTTCATCTTCATAAAAGAAAAAAATTATTTCTGATCTAACACATTATTTAGTGTTTTCGGGTTTGTTAGCTGTGGTTTGCAGGTTTTTGGGCCTGACGTTACGTCTACAACTGCGGAGGACTTCAACAATGGCAATGCGGCATATCGAAAACAACGAATATAATCTCCCACCGGCCGTGGGAGTTTACATACCATAACAATTCGATGTATTTCCGTGACCATTCGATGTATTTATATATTTCTATTACTTTTCTCATCAAGCAAGCTACATTTCACAAAATATTGAGATTCAGAGAGCTTTTCTGTTACGATTCAAGTATGCGTCCAGTTTTTCTAATAATTTCGCGGTTTACGATCAGATTTTGTGCATTTCTGACTCGCGCAAAACAACCTTATTCTTATTGGGTTGGCAACACTGGTTAAAGCATAACCTGAAAGAAACAAAATACGCAAAATACGCATATTGTTTAAATTTTATAGAATTTCAGAAAAACAAAATAATACGTTTAAAATACATGGAGCCGCATAGTTGAATGTTTATTGTTCACTGTTCAAGAAGACATTTTGGCATTTCAGCGCTTATATCTCAGGCGCTAATTGCCAAAATTTTATAATAGGTTATTTAAATTTTATATTTTGATATGTTGATGAATTTAAAACCTGGAAAATATTTGATGCCACTTTTGTGAAATATTATGGATAGTAATATACTGATAAAGGAACAATGTGGCTCTGTTGGAAATATCATAGCCTATGCCAGCAGTGGTATGTTCAAAAAAATTAAGTAATAAACATCTTTCATTTCGATTTTTCAACAGGAAGAAATGAAATTATTTGTATCAATCCAAAAAGAACCATTACTGCACCCATTCATTTTATTCTTCACTTCTTACGTGAAGTTTTACTGCCATATGGATACCCAGAAAGTGTAAGCGAAGATTATTTAGAATATCAACTATGGGATACAGCTCAAGCATTTTGTAGCACCATCACAGGTGCATTTACTACCAGAGCGGTATTGAAAGGTGTTGGAGTGGGCGATTCAGAAGCTACTGCATTATCTGCAGCTATTACATGGATAATGAAAGAGGGAACAGGGATGCTGGGAAGGATCATATTTGCATGGTGGAAAGGGTTTGTGAAATTCAATGAAGTTCAATTTACCTCTTCTTTTACTGGAAATTCAATGTCATTCAGCAAAATCAATTGAAATTGTTTAATAATTGAATAGAACTGGCCGATACTTGATGAAAAGTCATATCAAAAACTAATTAATACAGTTCATTGTATGATTTTCACCATAAAGGGTTTTACAAAAACCGCGATATGTGTTTCATTATACAATAGCTTTCTCAAGCATAAACTTTATCCTTGAGAAAGCTATTATATAGTGAAACACGTGTTGCAGTTTTTGTAAAACCCTTTATAGCTAAAATCATACAATACACAGTATTAATTAGTTTGAAATTGTTTACTTCAGGAGATTTTAGTTGGTTAAAGTAACCCTGCTTTTAAACTGATTGAGAAAACTTGTACCTCAAAAGCAGATACTATTTCTCAAGTATGATTGTTCTATTGTGGAAATTATTGTTAAGACCAGAAAGATTGTTTAACACTTTGAGCTCAGGTTTTCCTTCAGCCATTTGACATAATTCAAGATGGCATATTTGAATGTAATGATATTAGTTTTTGAAATATTCATTTTTGCTAAGAGACACAACCTTTTTTATACTCCTAATATCACCACTGATTTATTCAAATTACGTTCAGTCCTCTGATGAAGCCAATTACTGCTTGATGTTTCCCAAAATATTCTTCATTGTTAGAATTTACACCCCTAGGTCACATTAAATGTTCACATATTTCCACTCTTCTTTCATTTTATTCATATAAATTTTTGTACTACAGAAGCCATCCAAAACAAACGCTTTTCTCAATCACCAGAACTACAACAATCTTCTTTATACACGTTTCACCAAGTTTCAATTAAGTTGATGTCTTCAAGAGAAGTAAAGTAACAGTCTACTTCATTACATTATTTTAATAGTTTACTGTAGCAGTTTACTTCATCTCATCAGTGTTGCTGTTTTGGTGGCTGAGAGCAGCATCTGCTTTGGATTCATTGTACGCTAGAAGTTCCAGTTCTATCTTTTATTTTCAGAAGCGGTCTGGATTCAGACTGCAAAAAATGGAGACTATTTGCTGACATTCTAAATGATGTTGCAATGTCAATTGAACTTCTACTCCCGTTCATTGGTGCCTTTTCTATGCAAATTTTGTGTGTTACTTCTGTGATGAAATCAATTGTAAGTGATGAAGATGCATCATGTACATAATACGGCACCTATGGTTTATTTTTTTCAAGGTAGGCATTGCTGGTGGAGCAACTAGAGCTTCCATAACCAACCATCAGGCAATAAAAAATAATATGGCTGAGATATCTGCAAAAGACGGAACTCAAGAAACTGTGGTAAATTTAGTAGCAAGTATTGCTAGCATTTACTTGTTGAATATTTTCAATGGAACATTGTGAGTTTCATGCATTACTGAAGAAATCTTTTGATTTCAAATATTTTGTAGTTCGGAATGGATATTTATTTTTTCTCTCATGGCACTACACTTGCTCACCAACTACTGGGCTGTAAAATCATTAATATTTAGGAATTTAAATGATCAAAGACTAGCCATAGTCCTCAGAACATACCTTACAGTTGGTACTATTATGAATCCAAAGAAAACTAATGAAAAAGAAGTTGTGATTTTAGGATTTGGAAGAAAAGGTAAGTAAACTGTTTTGAGATGTTCAATAACTGAAAATTTGTATGACTAACATAGTCTCTCCAATCATTTTATCAAAAGATTTCATTCGAAAAAAAAGATATATCAGTATACAACCTTCAGCTTCTTTATATAACATTTTTTATGGTACTTCACTGCACTTGGTGGCAGAAAATATAGGTTTCAATAGCATGTTTCAAGATAATTTGACTTATTTACTTGCTCTTCGAGACTTCTATATAAATATTTTACGAATTGTAATGGTGTTGAATCCTCAATTACAAATTTTCTTCAGAAGAAATTTGGAAGTCAGCGAATGACCTTCTCACAAAAGGTTTTGAATCGGGAAAAATTATCTTGAAAGGCATTATATCAGAGAATGTAGGGAGAGAAGCAGTCGATATAGATCTTCCTGATTGTTACCGCATAATATAATATTAAGATGGACATACCCTATGAAATACAAATTTTTGGCAAAAATATGACTTGACCCTTTTGCCCAAACAACAAAAGTGTATAAAATGAGAACCTAAAAGCAAAGCCAATATTATACAGCGATTATTCGACCTGTAGAAGTCTCATCAGTGGTTCTAGGCTGAATGCATTGCTGGACTCGGTTGTTCTTGAATGACAAGGCTGATAAAGTAAGGGTTACGACATCTGGCCTTATGAAGCTGCCATATTCTGGATCGACAGAAAGCCCATTCCATGAGTATCTAAAATAAACCAGGCTCCCTAGGGCGGTCCATTGCAAAGCCAGGCTTCGACAGCAGGCAGAGGACTAATCTCATTCGGTGGATGTCTTATTTTTTTACATTTCCTATTCAGAACATTTGCATTTGTTGAAGCTGCAAAACGCAAGTTTTTGTTTTATTCTGTGAGTCTACAATTTAAACATTTGAACTTAAATTCGAACTTTCATTAAAACCTAACTATGATCATAATTAATTATTCACTCCAGTAATAATGAATAATCAATAACAATAGTGTATTTCTTATTACTATAATTAGCAAGGTTAAGATTTTTTATCTTGTAACCACAAGAGCCAAGTTTCAACTGTTGCGAAACATTCATTAAACACTCATCCATAATCACGATTTTTATAGAGAAAAATCGGAGTGCATATACCTTTTTGAATTCGTTCAATACTTATCCAAACCATAAAATTTCATAAGATTTCTGAGGACTTGAGATGTTCATTTGAAAAACTTTCAGAAACATAAATTGAGATGGCATATGTATACCAGAACACTAGAACGGGTTTTGAAACCATAATTTCGTGTTGATTGATAGATTCAACTTCCATTATTTCAAAGAAAGTGAACAGATTTTGAATCTTGAAAAAAATAATTGAATAAAGTTAGAAATAATAAGTGTGAAATGTAAAATTATGCTAATTTCAACAGGAAAAAACCATTATTGACATGGAAATAATTGATGTTATAGTTTAGAAAAATGTGTTATTAAAGTAAAAGTTCAATGTAAATTATATTCAGAAAAATGAAAAGATTAAGTAAATAGTGAATGATGTAGGAAAGAAGAAGTAAGAGATTTCAATTGCTTTCAGGTGATGACTACCTTAAGCTGCGCAAAAGAATTTTCATTTGGGGGGGAAGAGCTCTCTATTACATAGGAAGTTTATCGATTGGATAATTCTGCTGGAAAATGACTTTTGTTCAACAAAAGGATCTATTTTTCCTTACTTGATGATATCGTTCTTTCTGATTCTTGATTTTCATGACTTTTTTTATTGATTTTTTAAATTCCTCATTTCACTTGACAGATTTTAATTTTTCATTTATTACCTAATGAATAAGTAAAGTCAAAAATATCTTTCATTTCCCAAAATGAAATTGGTATTTTCCTAATTTATGCATATTCCACTGAGTATGAAACAAAACTTGTATCCCACTGATTTTCAATTAGTTATTTAAGACTTCTAAATCTATAGAGTGAGCTTGAGATGTGGAGGCTGCCTGGCAGTCTCTATAGGCGTGCCAATTAGTGCCGTAACCATGATGCTTCAGTTATTTTACAGTGTTTTGTTGCAACATTTTATGTAAATATGGCGGCGAATACACCTTACCAGGATGTCAATACTTCCTATTATTCATGTTCTTAGTTTTCCAGTCACACCTTATTCGACATGGCAATGCTGAAATTTGGCGAATTCCTACTGTTCATTGGAATAAGAAGCGCGAATAGTCCCGTGACGTCACAGGCCTATAATTTTGGAATTTCAATAATTTATATCTAGACTATTTTGAGCACTCTGTCCGTTACCATGTCGCCTTTGTCTATCTCAGTCGTAAATGAAATGTCAGGCATAAAAACCTACAGACCACGGCCAACAAACCCGAAAAATAGCTTTGATACAGTTATGCGGCCGTGAAAGTTTACATTATTGCAATGACCACTTGATTCTTCAGATTATAAAGATTCTTTCTGCTAGAATTCTACTAGATATGCTATTCATAATGCACCTTATACTATCTTCAAGTCCAGTGCTTTGCAGTTCTACACAGCTGTCTTGAATTTAGTTGTTTGTCACTAGTGTTTTTCATTGTGTCTGCTGTTCAATTTTTTGTATCAATCTATTGGAACGATTTTCAAGAAGAACCTTCTGAAGTCTTTGTGCTTCGAGTAATTCAGAGATTTCCTCTCAAAATTACTTCATTGTAATTTTGTGAGGTGTGTTTATGGTAACGACTGTCTTCCACAACAGATGTAATCATTTCAAAGCACCATTCTAATATCAGATTGATGCAATTTTTATGGAACCACACAAAAAATTTTTGATTCATAATATTCTAATAACGGCTGTCTTAAATAAATATTTGTTTTCAGTAAGCGACTTCTGTGGTTTCAAGATAGTAATGGGAATGTCACTGAAAAAAGTATTACATACTATGGCGGCGGCCGAATTTCTACAGACCTTGGCACTTTACAAAACTAAGAACTATTTCCTAATTGTCGATATTTCTAATGGGACAATTTATATCTCCTTTGAAAAGGGAGAATATCCTGAGTCAGTGATCGCTGCTTATTTTCATGCAGTAGTTTTAGGAATTGCAACCTGTATATATAATGGAATGGATTTGGTAACGAAGCCTCTTGAAGATTATTTTATTACCTATAAGATATCATTTTCAGGACATATATTCTAAAAGGCAACTTCATCACCGTACCCCGATAACTAGATTGTACACCTTCATGAAATCATTTGACAAATCTAGTACATACCAAAATATACCTTATGAACACTTGGTAGACTTTGAGGAATTCCTGAAAAAAGAATATTCCATGTTTCATACTGCCTTACAGCTGAATGGTGAGAGAAATATTTTCAATTTGAAAACATTTCATTATTGTTATGTATTTTTATTCAGATTGGGTTTTGACGTCGCATGCTTTGAATGTGGGCGAGTGGAGAACAGAATGGAAATCGTATGACAAGAAATTAAACTGAAGTACAAAACATTTCCAAAAACTTTTGTAACTTTCCTAATAAAATACTGTGAGTATTCAAGTTATGCTGTTGTTTATATTCGAAATCATGTTGTGGTAGTTTATGTGGCACATTCAACTAATGTAATAAGATATTTAGTTCATGAAATTATATCCATAGGTGACGCAATAAGTGACAGCTCGTTCAATGATAATAATAATAATATTTCATTTTTCATTCGACAATTAAAAATTGTATTGGATTCGTCAATACAGGTGAGTAAAATAAAACTGAACACACAAATAACTTGAGACTAAACAGTTACATCAGAAAAACAAAGAAAGGAATGAGCAGATAACATGTTAAGTTTGTGAGTATTCCTTTACAGAATAGAAATACTTTGTCACTAGAAATAGTCCGGTCAAATTAGACCAAAAAATAAAGAGTTAAGCTACCTAAATTCCCAACCAGCTGAAAATCAGTAAGATTGTTTGAAATATGATTAAAAATAAAATTGAAAGTTTCCCATGCATGGAAAAAAAATTATTCAAGGTCAAAGGTCAAAAAATAGTATTTCGCGATTTTCAGCAAAACGGTAAGTTTTATAATAAAAATACTACGGACAAAAATTGTAGACCATAAAATTATCTACAAAAAAATGTATCAATACTTTTTCCTACGTGCCACCGTTCTTGAGATATAACGATTCAAAAGTTGTAATCGTCATAATATGCATGAGTACGCCACGTATGTACATCTCTATAATTGTAATATATGTTGAAATATTTTTCTATCGGTTAATGTAACTCACACTAATAAAATATATCTGCATTTTACAGGAGGGGTAAAGTAACAGTTTTCAAAATGTTTCAAAAACAAAATTTAGTTCAGTGTGCAGAAGTTTTCTTTCCAAAAAAATATGGAGAGGAGGTAGATCTAGAAGGATCTCCATAGCCGCTGACGGTGTGGTACTGATGGCACCACTGATAGCCAGACAAGCTTGTCTCTGTAAGCCAGAGAGCTTCGCTTGGGCCGTTTTCTGTAAAGCCTTCAACCACCAAGCAATTGCACCATACGTGATTATTGCTCTGGATTTGTTTGAGACCTAAACCCCAAGTTTTACCACAAATTCTTCAACATTTCCATAGAAACAGTCTGGCTTTGTGTGAAACTTTTTCGAAGTGAGCGTTCCAGGTGAGTCTTTTATCAAGGACAATGCCAAGATATTTCACCTCCGTTCCAAATGGAATGACCACACCATTGAGGGAAAGTGGCGTTAGATCGTCCAATTTCCTTCTCTTGGTGAAGGGAATTAACACAGACATCTGCTCCCTCAGGCACCAACTGTGAACAACGTCCAACGCGCTTTGGAGGATATTACAAGCTACCCTTCCCGACAAGGTCATCTGCATAAGCTGGCAGATCAACTTTTCTTCTGTCAAGGGCATCAAGCAGACTATCCACCAGGAGTGACCACAGAAGGGGAGATAGTACCCCACCTTGAGGGCAGCCCCTGGTGACCCTGAACCTGATAGCCTCGCCTTGAAGAGTCGTAGTTGTAGTTCTGTTTACTAGCATGGCATAGATCCAGCCAGTTATGGTCGATTCTATACCCTTTCTAGCCAGAGACAATCCTATAGATTTAGGTAGTGCATTGTCAAATTCTCCTTCAATACCAAGAAATACAGCAACCGCAATCTCCTTGTTGTCAAGGGATTGGGAGATTTTCTCAACGAGGTTATTTAATGCTGAATCTGTCGATTTGCCGGTTTGATAAGCATACTGGTGGTTATTCAGTGGGGATGCTATAATGCTACCCTCCTGATATGTCCGTCCAGTATCCTCTTAAGTCCTTTCAGCAGGAAGGATGTAAGGCTGATTGGTCGTACCGATTTGGGGTGTGGGTCTCTCTGGCCAATTTTAGGTATATATACCACCCCTGCTGCCAACCAATAAAAAACAAGTACAATTACCTTGACTTCCTCCAACCTCAGTTTCTGCTCATCAACATCTTTTTCGGGTGTATTAGCAAGTTCAAGTGTGACTTGATTGTCAGATAGACCCTACAGACTGGGGTTGGAAGTTGATCAACAATTCATTAGAACCAGTCCAAACTGTACTTCCACCTGCGCCGGAAAAACTGCTGAACACAATTTTTTGCACCTGCAAAAAGGGGTGCAGTGCTAAATGTGGCTGTAAAAAAGCCGGACTGTTTTGTTGTCAAGGCCGGTCGTGCTCTAATATTGAATCACCAACAGTGGAGGATCTGTTTGATTCCAACGAGGCGACATGCGATTCATCGCTATTAACGCAGTTTACATGTACTCAGGATGAAGAAGAACAAGAAGATCAAGAAGAACAAGAGACGAATTTGAAAGTTGCGATTCGGACGATTAAATTTCACTACTTTTTTATCTTTTCAATCTCTGCTAATATCCTTTATTTTACAATAGTTTCAAATTAAACAGGATCACAACTGACCCGTGGAATAGGCCTACTCGGGAAACCACGTTAAAAAAACGCGCTAAGCACACTAGCGCGTTTTTTTAACGTGGCACTGTTTTTAAAACAATAGAGTGTCAGACTTTTTCATTTCGTCGGATAATTAATTGTACATCCAGGTAGTCATTGCTCTAGTAGAATTATAATGAATTTAAAAATGGTCTTGTTGACGTGTTTTGTATTCGTATCTGGGTTTGTTCGGTGTGAAGTTACTACGATTTTTTTTTACGTATATGTAGAATTCAAAAATTTACATTGATGGAAGCGTAAGGTTTTTTAGATTCTTAAAGTGATCTATACAGGATGTGCGTTTCGAAACTCCAACTATAGTACGAATAATGTTATGACAGTTTATTGTTTTGCGATTTCAAAAATGGCCTATGACAGGCCACACCCATCAAGTTCCAGTTCAGGAAAAGCGCCATATTCTATAACCCTTTCGGGTTACGCCAAAAGGAACGTCTGATCATATCGCCGCCATTTTGGGTCAGAACTCTCTTCATTTATCTACTGGGCGCCATATCTGAATAATTTGTTCTTCTAAACATTTGAATACAATACCTCTGTAAACATATTAGCGAAACTCTGTCAGTTGAATATATTGATCAACACAATCAAATACCTTTTAGAGAAAGCGCAGAATATAGCAGATGATGGTTCATCACTGTTAACGTCCGTATATAGTTCCTGCTGAAAAGAAAAAACAGCATCACTTGTATTTTTGTTTTTGAAAACCATACTGATTTGTTAAAACTATGTTGTGTTTTTTAGGAAGTTTGATATTATTATAGAAAACAAAATCCGGACTGGTAGACCGTGGTAGAATGGAACCTGCATCAGTGGTATGTGCGTTGACTGCAAGGACGNCCACTAGAGAAAAGTATTGGAAATATAGTCATAGAACTTCAAACTGACACTTCACATAAATATTTTTGATTTGATTGACAGAGTGAAGTGACATCAAGTTGTCATATATCGAGAACTAGCAAGAGTCGAAACAGCGTTGGTTTTGTCGCCGATATTTTTTATATGAAAATTCATATCATGAGTGGAATTGAAGCAAGATTCTTGAATTGAATGAAAAATAAAACCAAATATTTTATTCATTTAAAAAATAAATAACATCACAATTTCCAAAATATGAATGTACAAATTTACATAAATTTTTCTAGATGAAATTTATATTTATCAATTCAACTAAATTGTCCTATAGTGTACCTACATCAATTCTTCAAAGACTTTGTGAGCTCCAACTCTTTGTGTTCAATTTCTAATTGATGCATATATGCTAAAAAACAACACCATACTAGGCTGCAGACACTTACAAAGGGTACTCTGTTTTTCTCAGGTATATAACAGAAATTTATTGTTTGAACAACTGGCCAAACACAAGCTCCCACCTAGAAAAGTATCTCTAATAAATTGCTAATAATTCATGATTAAATTGACCAAAAATAAATTTAGGAACAATTTAAATGTATGACTGAAAATAATTGATTTGTTAAAACTATGTTGTGTTTTTTAGGAAGTTTGATATTATTATAGAAAACAAAATCCGGACTGGTAGACCGTGGTAGAATGGAACCTGCATCAGTGGTATGTGCGTTGACTGCAAGGACGAAGGTTATAGCTCAAAGTCTCAGCAACGAGTGACTGGCGAGCTCCGTGTTCACACAGTAGTTATAAGTTTAGAGAGTGGTGAGGGTAATGGTGAGATGTCCATATGAATATTCACTCCTGACTAGTTCGCACTTTTGCTCAGTTGCTTTAACTGGTCCGCACTGTTACTAGGTTATTCTGATTTCTCCACGTGTTGTTAACAGCTTTGCTGAGGGGGGGGTTGAATATCGGAGTTGGCCTTCAATAGAGTTTCAATGAAATACAATATAATGTCAAACCATATAATCACATTAATTGTGGGCACTCCTGTTAAGAATTTCTACATAAAAATAGACTTTTTTTAAAACGAATCAGTTTGCACTAATGCTAATAATAAAACAATATCTTACAGATTTACTCTGGAAAAGAATAATTTACATATATTCTATTAGATCCGAGTACGATTCAGCACCAACTTATCCCATTTTTCTTTAGCTTTTTTCAATCTCCTACATATTCCAAATTTGTGTCACTGGTAATGAATGATTTGTCTTTGATCTTTTTATCAAATGCATTTTGCTTTGCGTCCCTCTGCACTGGTCGAATCTTGGTGAGACACCCAGAACATCAAATACTTTCAAAATAGTTTCTACTCTGAATTTTCGACTGTCAAAATCTGATTCACGAAAAGAAGCTATTTAATATTTATCTTCATTCCTTCCGGACATCATAGAAAAAATTCTTTCATAAGCATAAAAACTTATAGATTGTCTAGGCCGATAACCTTCCAATGAATAAAAAAATGTAGATGAACTTTTTCACTCCCCACGAAATCAGTGTTTGATAATCAATAATAACAGTCTTTTTTTTTCATAATGATGGTTTTCGTAATGATCATATATCATATAGTCCATAGGCATTATTCAGTGTGGCTCGTTTCAACTGGAATGCAGTGTATAAACCATTTAAATTCAGTCATTATTTGTGATAATATCATTCTTAAATATTACATTACCTCTGTGTCAAATATTAAGTATTGTGTAGGGCCAAAAGCAATTATCTACTGAAGATTTGACTGTAGCCTTTCCTTTGAGTGATCCAGCTGTACCTTTAAATATTCTCTTGATACAAAAACAGATTGTATGAAGATAAAAGGCGAAGTTCAATTTACATGATGACAAGTCATCATTCAATTGCTCTTCCACTTAACCTCAATATATAGATAGAGGATAGAATTTTTATGTCTTCTAGTTAGACACCTAAGATGGTCTTCTGAACAGTCTCTTTGAAATGAAATAATTGTAACTAAATAATGTTATCAAATATGGTAACACAAATAGTATCAATAGTCCTTCTAAACTTCAGGAATCTTCACTATTTATTTTTAACAGGTGCCATATTCAGGATGATGAACTTCCCACTAGAGAAAAGTATTGGAAATATAGTCATAGAACTTTAAACTGACACTTCACATAAATATTTTTGATTTGATTNTGTCTCCTGACAGCAAACTTTTCGTGGTTTGAAACGAATGGTTTTCAATAGCAAAGAAAACAAAATACATTGAATTGACTCTTAAAATTGCAAAATTTTGTATTACCAATGTGTATATAAACTAAGTATCTCTAAACTTACAGCTTGGATTATTCAACTTCAACAATTAAAAATATGTATATCAAATTACTGTATGATGTTAAGCGAATATCAGCCAATTGTTTTTGACAAATTCAAATTGAACCATAGCGCTGCTGAAACAGCCAAAAAAATTAACCAGACATTTAGCAATGACAATGTTAATAAACACACTGTTCAACTTTGGTTTGAGAAATTTAGTCCCGGAGATTTCAGCCTCGAAGATGAGCTTCAAAGTGGTCGACCTACAGTAATTCAGGACGAGGATTTCAGGACCCTGATGGAAACTAATAAAAGCCAATATCAATCACGTAGATTCTTTAACAAAACTAATACTGAGAAATTCATTAATCGCATGAAAGTCCATGATTGGACATGTATATATAGTATTCGTAAAGAAAGCATAAATGAACAATGGGATCTCTTCCTAAACATCTTTAGTTTAATATTCAATGAAAGTTTCCCTCTAAGGCAAATGAAAAGAAATAGCAGAAAAAAAACATTCAAACAGTAAAATTATAACGGACTGTAAGAGCAGGTTAGACACTCTTTTGGTGTTGACACAACATAATGTCCAATACAAACATATGTTCAATAAGGTGAGAAACGAATACAACAATTTATTAATTAACGCGAAGAAGGACACATACTCAAAGAGACTTACCCATTCTGATAATAAATCGAAATGCATATGGAGCATTTGCTCTGAAATAACGGGAAGAGTTCGAAATGAAGAGTGTTGCATAAAAGGTGACCCAAACGCAATACTTAATGATTACAATAAATATTTGGTAGACATAATACCTCAATTACTAGCAAATTCCTCAAATATTCCATTTCACTGTGATATCTCTGTAAATATGCAGTCGATGTTCGTGAGACCCATAACCCCAGAAGAAATAATAGAACTATCTAGAAAACTAAAAAATAAACATTCCAGTGGAGAAGATTAAATTCCTGCTAGTATTATGAAAAAAAGTTTAATTGCCATTAACGAAATCATAACATATATCATCAATAATTCACTGAAGTATGGCATATTCCCAACAGGATTAAAAACCTCCATTGTGAAGCCAATCTTTAAAAAAGGTGATCCAGAGAGCCTAGAAAATTACCGACCAATATGCATCCCTCCCAGTTTTTCAAAATTATTCGAACTATCAATGTCAGTGAGAATTTAGAGTTTATTAATCAATGTAACTTATTTAGTAGGCGTCAACATGGATACTTACAGGGTAGATCAACACAAACGGCCATATATCAATTCACACAAAATATAACGAACATGATGAAAGAAAAATTGATATCTCTCGGGATGTTTTTGGATGTATCCAAAGCATATGACTGCTTGAATCATCAACTTTTATTAATAAAATTAGAAAGATATGGAATAAGAGGTTCAGCGCTAAAGTGGGTGCGCTAAAGTGGGTTGAATCCTACCTATCAGATCACCTTCAATCTGTAGAAATAAAACGAAATGGAAACCCTTCCCACAGAAGTGGGAATTCCGCAGGGGAGTATTGCCGGCCCTCTTTTGTTCGTCATTTATTTGAACCAACGTCAGTTCAAAACTATCTTCGCAGATGACACAAGTCTGTTATCAGGTGGTGAAACCTTCCGAGAGATGATGTTNGATGTTGCCAAATGGTGAAATAGAAACGAATCCCTTTAAATGTTGAATGCATTATTTCATTCCTCTTTTTTGAATATTTAAATAATGTTTTAAAGAAAAAGGTTGAAATGATGAGTTTAAAATGCGTTGTTTTAAAGCTCTTTAATGAAAACTACTTAATTTTCGTCAGGAGAAACATTCCCCATTGACACTTATTTAGAATGAATGGGGAATGTTCCTCAATTTGGGTTATTACTGCAATGCAAGTTTGAACAAAATAAAGTTGAGTTCAATTCATGAGTTTTAATTCATGGTAAACACCAATTTCATTATATGATATGAACCCGGTTTATTGAAGCTAAAAACCTTTTGGAAAGATGATAAGCATTATAAAACCATATTTACCGAATTGCTTAAACACCTATTCAGTAATAATTCGGTGACATGAAAATTCCCTAAAGAGCCAGAAAGAAATAACTTTTGAAATGGTGTGTAATTAAATGGGATAACGGTAAGACTTTTGCCTGCGTCACTCGATAAGAAATATGCAGTAATGAATGAAATCAGATAGAAAATGACCCAAGTAGGTCAGTAGATTTTATGCATGAAAACTGTCAAACATATGCAGACACATTTAAGAAATATAATTTTACCATCGATATACTATGTATTTTTGGTTTCATTTAAGGAAAAATTAAATAATTCCCGGAGCAACTACATTTTCATTTTCCCTTGAATACAAGTGTCAGAATATGATTCCACAGAAAGTATTCCTGCCATCACAAAAGGCATCTCCTCAAGAGTTTTCATTTTACTGAAAAAAATCCTCAACTTTCCAACAGCATATATGTCAAATTTGCGAAAGGTCATTCAAACGTTACGTTAACACAGATGATAGTCAGGAATATGTTTAATACATATCAAGTTCCACTTGACAATTGTATATACTTCCCAGAAAGTGGAAGTAACCTCAATTATTATAACAGTTCGAGCATTTGTTCATGCAAATATACTCAATGCCTTGTGAAATTTGAGTTCAGAAATATTTACTGTTCATGCTTCATTTTCCTGAAATGAAGACTAAAACATTTTATTATTCCTTGCTACATTAAAATTTTCTCAATTTACCTTAATGAAATGATGTAAAATCAATAATTATCCACGAATGTATGCTAGGAATAAAAAAAATTATAAAATTGGTTATCTAATTTAGAATGACAGTTGTATTATAGATATGCTAATATGGAAACTCGAAGGCAGCTTACACACTGACGCAACGCAACTGACACGACCAACTCAAGCAACTAGTTGCATCAGTATGACCCTTAAGGATTTCGTAGAAGCATTCACACTTGCCTAATCCGACTGATATAACTATCGACTGGTTGCATGCGACCGGACATGACAGTCGCACTGCGATCAGTTGCATTGATTTTTGTATGTATCGTTATTATTTTCTTCAATTTAAAGCAAAATGAACAATGCATGGCAGGAGTAATAAGGTCGAGTAGTTCTAGGAAGGTTGTTGGACTCATCCTATACATACCTAAATATAAATTTAACCGGGTCATGGAGTTCCCTTGCAGCTACATTCTTTGTTCTAAATTTTCTAAAAAAATATGAGTGCACCCAGAATAGCCTTTTCTTTCTCATATGAGAGTACTAAGAAATGATAACATTCTCGTCTTCTGACGACTCCATTTCGGCTTGATTATAGTCGCATCGATTGTACAACAATGTGAAATCATTGATATTAGGCAACTAATTGCATGAGTCCTTCGCATTGCATTTGTGTGTAAGCTGTCTGAAATTCAGAAATTTACGTTTATCAAAACTCACTTTTGTGATGGAGGTCTTCAAATTTGTACCTGGCCATAGAACTGAAGATATTCTGATCCAAGCATAAAGTGTAGGAGCAGTAATAAAACATCCATACAAACTGTATCGTAACGCCTGCATCCAGTCATAATTTTCCAAAGTTTTACCTGCGATAGTTTGTTGAATAATACAAGAAGTTGGCCATATCATTCCATAGGAAATCATCCCTCTCACTACAGGGTAATGTCTGGTGAGAGCCACAATTTTTGAAAATATTACTGTCATGTTGAAATATATTGAATCACTTTTTAGTTCGATAAAAAAAATAAAATATTAATAGCTGCGACACGAAGGACATAGCCAAGGGTATTCTGCCAATTTTGAAAACTTAATCAATTTCATTAATTTCATAATCTACTGATACTGACCTTCATCAACATTATAATCAGTGTTGCCAATGAAAATTGCACACAATACTTCAAACCTTTTTTTGATTGGAGCNCGATCATTGATGCTATACAATTATAGCGAAAAGCACACATTTTCATCCGTCATTTTCGTACAATTTTTTTTGTCTTGGCAGCACTGGAGACGTATGACGTTATATCATAATAAGATAATATTATATTCTGGTTCCTGATTGTTATTAATTGGGATCGTCCAAAATCAGTTGCATCACAGAATACTGCGTACTGAAAAGACTCTATGGTAACTCTTTGCTCAGTTGAGCGACTGTCTTCACTATTAAAGCTTTTTCCATTGGTAACACTAGTGCACATTCACTGTCTGTCCTTAGTTTATCCATACATTAATAAAGGATAGAAATGCATTTTTAATCAGTAGCTACTACCTACAGTATTTTCCAATTACGTATACTCTCAGAATTTTGTCGGGACTTCCCATGTTGCCAATGAAAGACTCACCTCCCTCTCTCTTCAAGCAATGCAGCAGTTTGAATGAGATTGAAGTTTGAGTAATTATTTTCTCATTTTACTTCCTGTCGGCTTTTATAGAATGCCACATAACCTATAAAAATTCAATATTTTTTAAATACTGAGGCACAGATTAAATAACTTAGGTGATATGTAAATACATTCAATTCAATAAACATTTTCGCAAATCTATAAAAAAGTGAAAGGTTATAGTATGATTCGTTATTTGGTTATTGGTTATTGGTTATTTTTGTGTTCACCATCGCTGTGTATCTTAGTTTTAGACAAATCTCCAACTAGTTGCTCAATTAGGAAAAAAGATTTTTGGAGGTAAGTGTGGCTTTGAATACTTTTTGTAATAAGTAAGTAGGTTTGTTTTTTTCGGGTCTTTAGGTTAAGTACACAGGACAGATCAACAACTATAATTTATAAAGTTTTTAATTGAATTAGTAACTGGCTACGGCAATCGAACTTTTCATTCATTCCGAATGTTGGTTTTATTAAAGGCGATTGGATTTATGCATCAATCTTGAGGCTGTAAGTGCAAGTTTTCATTTATGTTTTCCATTGGTTAATATTGAAAACCCAGAATTGATGCATGACAAAATCAGTAAACTTACATTAGCTAGTGTGAGTTAATTTGTGTGTGGGTTGTTGATTTGAATATACATTCATATAATAATAATAAATGTTTATTCAATATATAACGATTCATTTCTTGACAGGACCTATAATTGAGTATAGGGTTTATATAATACAGAGTGCTTTATACTGTCAAAAATCATTGAATATCACAAAAATAGTACAGTTCATAACACAGTAACAATATCAGAATGAAATTTGTGGTCAGAAAAACAACTTTCATTCTAATATTATTGTCACACTTCATGTGCTGCCACGTTCTTATATGTGTGTGTGGGTGTTCTGTGTGTGTGAACTGCTTATGATTCTTAGGATTTATTGTATGACTTGAGACTGCATGCATGAATCCATCCTTACAGAAAAGTATTGACTTTATACAGGAGCGAGGTATTAGCTAAGGAAGTAGTTGTTTCCGACAGGCATTTACTAGAACCTATGGTGTAAATAGTTGGGAGAGATGAATATTTTGAGATTTCATTTAGAAATATTCATTTTCTAGTACGTATGTATCTGTCCTCGATACAGTCTTCAGAGATGGTTCGATCTCTGTTAGAGTATTGGTACATGGAATGTTTCTTCCCCGCATGGAGCTTTGGTCACGAGATAAAACTGTTACTAGTTAACATCCAGTTAAGCTGCGTTGAAATTAATCGAGTCCAATGCACTTTGCTGTTTGGGTCAGATCTTTTCTGCACTGACGAGAGGTAATACCTCGAACCAACCTGTAGGTGATCAACTCTAATAATTTCAGCATGGTCCTGCTGCTGGATGAATCGAAGGCCAGGTGCTTTGATAAGCGAGGTCTTTCGAAAGTAGATAGGTTTGTTCTGGTTCTAACATCCGAAACTGTTTGGAAACTGCGCAAGACATGATGCGTACAAGCAAATCTTAAACAGTCCGAAATAGTCTCGGACACTTGGTTAAACCAGAACACATTTTGAGGAGACCACTGTGCCACCTATCGTATATATGAAGAGATGAAGATGAGAAAATACTGTTGATCATGTTTATTTTGTTATGTGGCGTATCTTTATAGTCAGTTCAAATGATATCTAACCTCAATCATCGATTATTTAAATCAAATAAAACAAAGAAATTTCCACATGAATGCGCATGAACAACGGAAATAGTTCTCAGCAGTTCAGCCTCGAGAGCAAGAACGATTCGGGACGATTCAAGACAGTTTAGGATCATTTCGCAATCGAAACCAGAACAGAGGATTCATCAATCCGAAATTATCCTCAATAAACCAGAACGCTCTATATAGTCTATATCAACTGCGCATGATCCTGACGTCCTAGAAGCTGAATTTCGTAGAAACAGAACAAACCTGATGAACTGAAAACGAATATCTGTACCAGCTGCAAGCTACTTCGTTCATCAGACGATGCCAAGTCAAGTATTTCATATGATGGAACAGCCACTATTTGTTTTTGAACAAAGTGGCAATCTTCACTTTTTCTGGGACTGATCCGTTTTAGTACACTTCGATGGAGTATTTATTCATTTTATTAAACAGCCGTTTTTAAATAAATAATGATATCATTCTTTCTACAATAACATATTTGGAATGAATGTATCAAGATTCTTATCTATCAGGACGGAAGATTTGATGAGTACTGAATATTGCAATGTAATCAAGTGGACCGATATAGGAGTATTGTGTGTACATTACATAAAAACAATTTCAATATCTCTGTGAATCCTTTGAGTAATATTTACTTTTTTCTTCAGGGCTTTTACTACGTCACTAACTCATATATGAATTTTACATGAAATTCATAACCACAGTAGAATTCTACCGTGGTATAACTTTGAGTTACAGTCCACTCAATTCATTTACGAAGGCTACGCTAGTTTCAGATTTTTTTTATATTTCTAGGATGTATAGCAATGTAGGCTGTCACCGCTGGCGTCAATGTTTTGGTTAGTTTCCGGGTTTTGCCGTAGTCTTCTTTGGTTATAATCTCCAAACATTTCGACTGCAACTGCGGCAGTCATCTTCAGTGGCGTGGTCGAAGTACTTTTCTTGACGTGTCAGTTGACACGTCAGCAGGAGATTGCTTATCTCAATGAGAATTTAGATGTCGTTTCGAATTGGGGTGAAAATAACCAAGTTCAACTCAATGCCACAAAAACCCAGGCATCGGTTTTCCCCAGAAAAATTAATGTCTCCGAACCGGATATAATAATGTCAGGTCAGACAATTCCGCTTTCTGCTTCTTTAGGTTTGTTGGGGGTTAAAATGTGTTTGAGACTGTTTGAGATTTTTTGCTTGTATGCATCATGTCTTTCGCAGTTTCCAAACAGTCGGATGTTAGAACCAGAAAATTGATTCAATTTATTATACATTTTAAAAATTGGGAGTTCTATCAGATAACATAAACACGAAGTCTTCAAATACAATATTTATTCTAATCCTATAACGAACATTAATAAACATTACGTGTGGACTCCAAAAATGCTTAGCTGTGACTGTTCTCATTCAACCCATACAGGGTTATTCGTCATCTTCTAAATTTCCACTCAGATTATTCAGTTCCCTTTTAAAATCCAAAGTTTTGAACTCGAATTTCAATGTGGGCTGCATGCAAAAGTTCATCGGCTACAGAAAGAACGTTTCAGAGGAATGATTGGCTTATTTACTAGCAATTTTTTTTTGTTTGATTGTGAATTTAGAAAGAACAAGAAGTAAGTGTTTACAATTTTCATATAACAACGATTTTCAAACCGAAGTGTTCCCAGAATAATACTTAATTTTTTCAAGTTTTATAAGGAAAAGCTTTCATAGCATCCAACTGTTACTATGAATGTTTTAGTATTTTTTAAAATAACAATCAACATTCAAATATCCACATCTTTTTCTAACAAGTATTGGAAAGCAGATATTCTAAATAGGATTTTCGAATTCCAAATATTTATTGAAGTTCGTTAACAAGTACAATTCTGTGGGCTGAATGAATGACTGGTTTCTCTTGTTGAGACCGTGGGTATTAAATCAGCTTGCATAGATGCACGTGCAAGTCTACAGGGTGAAAGTGTATCATTCGATATCAGACATTGGGCCATACTGCATAGTCCTTGTCCTGATGGTCCTCACCCTCATGGTGCTCAATCTGAAACAAAATCATTATATATGAGCGCAGGCTTGGCAATCTCCAAATTCTAGTTAAACAACGTACTTCGACTTTAAAAAACGAGATATTTTCATATGAAACGCTCTCGTGGCGAACGATTTATTGCAGTTGGAGATAAAAAAGTTTCAGCGTAGCACAAACAATACTTGTTACCCGATTAGATAATGTTGGGTTTTATTGGCAACTTTGTGAGTGACTAGATTAATAAACCTTGTGGTTTTCAAGTGACATTACGCAACATTTGTGATTTGTTAGAACTATTTAAAAAATCGACATAGGTTAGTGTTTCACTTTTTATGCAAAACAAAAAATAAATTCAAATTTGAAAAACCAAGGGGTATAATTCAATGTGTTTTCATGTGTGAAAATTAATTATCGTAGTTTTTCCTATATTTCTTCTTAACTGTATAATAAATTGCCCAGTGATTTCAGACTCTACACGACAATGACATTTGAAAAACGCTTTTCGATAAGCTCTTATTATTAATCATTTTAATGGGCTTGTTTCATGATTTTTGGTTTATAGTTCACTTGATAGAAATTTCAAATTGAAAAACAAAGCACGCTGTTTCGGCTCTCTAAGTACCGTAGTTTTCTCGTAATTAATTATTGAAAATCGAATGTGGTAGGCCGGTGACGTCACAGGCCTATTCCTGCTTCTTGTTCGATTGACCAATAGGAACCGTAGAAATAATCAACATTGCCAAATCGTAAAATCAATGAAGCCTATAATTATCAATATAATTATGGAAGTGTATATGAACCCGTTAACGTTTCAATTAATGAAAAATTCTCCACATGGAATAAAATGTACACGAAAAATCATGTTTGGAAATAAGTTCTATATCTAAAGTCAGTACACAAAGTCAAAAGATCACAAAATATTTGCCTAAACTATGATTTTATGCATTATTTAATAATATACAGTTAAAAATCAAAAAAATATAGCAAAGTGGATTAAAGAATCATTTCAAATATTCAATTTATTCTACAATCCTCAATCTGTACAACTGCAATTTATTATAAAANCTACAATTTTTATCTGAGGTTATTTTATGATAAAACTTGCCGTTTTCTTGAAAATCGCGAAAAACCAATTTTTTTTCGAGATTATTGACCTTTGACCACGAATAATTTTTTTTCCAGGCATCGCAATCATTCGGCATTTTAAAATCTTATTTTTAACTATATTTTGAATAATTACACGCATTTGCAGCTTATTGTAAATTTATGTACCTTCACTCTTATTTTTTATTCTAATTTGACCGGATAACAAGGCCAAAATTTGATTCAATTCTATAGCTCTTTAATTTTTCAATTGAAGTTATTCTATTTTATATGCTATATTGTTTCTCATTTACAAAATCCTATCGATATGTTTTTCTCAAGTATATTTAATTCAAATATATTTCGATTAATTTATTTTTTCGGCACTTTTACCTTTTGTACATTAAAATAACTAAATGTTTACTTTGATTCATCTGACATTAAGAATAGAATAATAAGAACTTTCCGATTTTTCTTAAGATCATTGACAAACCAGTTATTTCCATTTCAATTAAATGTTCTCGACTATCGCTAAAGATCAAAAAAGACTCAAACCTTTGTCACAGACATGAATAATATCAACATTTATTATATGATGTGTAAAAATATAATAAAAAAAAAATATTAGGTTTATATTCAACAATATGCATTTTATGTGTCACCAATCAATAATACTTGGAAATAATGCACCTTCAGTCGAGTAGAGAAACGAATTAGGTGATCAATAATGAATTGTTATTCTGCCCTCATTTTTCCCGCCTACTATCAACCTGCCGTCGATCACTGGGTGATTCCGATTCCTCTAATTTATATATAAGGAGTGATGTTTCCTATGGTACTATTTAAAAAAGAAAAGGAATGTCTATAAAAAATGAACTATTTTTTTGTGAGAAATGAGAAATGAAAATTTCTATGATTTTCACCACTTTTATTTTTAAATAGCGTTACTACAGTTTCGTCCTATAAGGTCATTTTCAAACTAATACAAAAAACAGTTATAGGGCGAAATTGCAGTTACAAATACAAGTGGTAAAACTATACGTATACGTACTTTGAAAATGTCCTTATAGGACGAAAATGCAGTAACGCTAGTTACTGCAGTTTTATCATGTTCTCCTACCAGTTTCATGATGATCTCCCACCACCTAGTAACGGCTACATCCATCAATTTACTTTTTTGTTCGTCTTGGTCAACTCTTGGTCAACTCATTTAATATTCTAAAAGTTGACGGTCGTTTTTCGTATAAATTCTGTAATCAGTGTTTCCATTCTATAATCAGTATTTTTTCTCGTGAGAATTTATTTAGTTGTACATGGATTGACTCTAATACGTTTGCTAATAGGGCTAGGAATAGCCATAATGCTTCATGCTTCCCTAACATAACCTATCTATAGTTATCAATGTCGAAGAGAGAAAATACCTTGGCTATACCTATCATGCTGATGCACTAGAGCAGTGATTCCCAAAGTGGTCCAGATGGACCCCTAGGAGTACACGAGAGACTCGACTTGGGTCTACGTTGACGTGACCAAAAAATGGGGGTTCACAATTCGTAAGCGGGGGTCCATGTCACCTATCAATGTAGGCATGTAAAATCTTGCAGATTGAATATTACAAAACATTTTCGGCTATTCCTTACAAAACTGAAGCCAAATATTGATAACCAGTTGTTGCAAACAAATAGTTACAATATTTTTTCATCAACCCAAACTTTAGGTTTCCAACTTCAAAACTAACGAACTTCTAAAGAAATTGAATACAATCTTTAAACCCCTATTTTCCCTCGTGGGGTGGAAATTCCTGATTTCCTTTCTTGATGCTTATTGACGCTGTACAAAGAACCTTCCTGCATATTTCAAGATTCTAGGTTCAGTAGCTTCGGCCGTACGTTAATATAAGAGCAGGCAACAGCTAGTAATTTATATTTTCATTTTAAAAATATAGTAACTAACATATGCACTAAGTAATGAATAGCTTCGACAATCAAATTATGTTACCTATGAAGAAATTCGCAAAACTAACACAACAGTTAACGACGTGTGTTCTCACGCGTCTGCCCGCATTCGGGTTGCGTTCTCGGCGATGGCGCTTTATTGCTTAGACAAAGTTTCATCTACATCCGTTCAGTCGTTTAGGCGTGAAAGAGCCACATACATATATACATCCATCCTGACAAACTTTCACATTTATAATAGTATAGATAGATTTGCTGTCAACCCATCAACAAGTACATCCTTTCCATTAGAATTATGACTATTTTGTGATTGTCATTGTAGTGTAGAAATTACTTCATTGATGTTTAATTTCAATTACATTATGATATTTGAATAAATAACACAAGAAAATATACTATTTTTACCACACCGAATGGGGAGTTTTCTAAATAAAATATATGAGAATAGATTGGTTTCTTGTGCTGTGAGTAGATGTTAAATACCAAGACAAGATACACACGGTTCGAGATGATGTTGGTACGGTCATAGAAGAGATGGAAGAGATGAATTAGAAGTTGTGAACAAACTTAAAAATCAACTCGATCACATTCACATGGCGAACCAACATCCCCGTGAGCAAGAATATCAATTACCCAAAACAAGCACTGTTCCTCAACACTAGAACTGCAACTTTCTTCCCAACGCGCGTTCCACAAAGAAGACTCTACTTCATCTCCTGAAGTAGTCAACTTGGTTAGTGAGGCGCGCGTGGAGAAGAGTGTTACCGTTCCGATGTTGAGGACCAGTACTTGTTTTCGATTTATTCTATGCAAGAGGTTAAGTTCTACTTTTCATATATCAATCACAATGAGGGCAGCATTGCCAGCAGCAACAAAAACATCATCAGGTAGAACTCTGAAGCCTCAAACTTTCTTTGACCAATCATAAATTAAATTTTTATGCGAAAACCTTTCAACAAAAAATACTAGCCACCAGATTTGCTCAGATAGAAATTGGGGATTGAAAAAACGCAGTGGCTTTTCATTTTTCTCAGATGATTCAGCGCAAATCTCGCACTGTCGCCCCAGGCAGGAATAAACAATTATATTTATTAGCATAAAATGTCGTCTGATGCCAAAAATATCTTGGGTCATACAAAAAAAAAGTTTTTTTTGCTATAACTTTGGCACCCTATTGTTCAATTGTCAAGACCACGGGAACATTGTTCATATGAAGTTTTTCCCTAATTGAACCCAAGAGCAACCTTAATTAATACCGTGTTATTAATAACCACCGTGTATATTCCATAAGTTTAATTTGTATGTCATGAGGAAACAACTTCTTCTCTTCATCAGCATAAAAATCTTGCTTGTAAACTTGTGAAGCGATATAATTTATTTAAGTGCAGACGTCATCAATATTACGGCGAACTCGGAGATTTCAAACTACTTTTGTTATGAGTTATATCTTATGAGAAGCCTATTACGAAATACGTAAACACATGAAGGATTTAAGAAATAGTCCCTAGTGTGTATTTTATGATGTTCGATTTACACCTGAAGAATTTTTACAAATTTTAATATTACTGATTATAAATACCCTATTCAACCATGTGGGACATAACCATAAGCTAAAGCAGAGGTTCTCAAACTTATTTTGTCTACCGCCCACTTTGAGAATTAATTATTTTCTAGCGCCCCCAATTTTTTTTACTTTACTACATCTTAAGAATCACAATCGCAGTCATTATTTTAATAATTAAATTATGTGTGTCATGTGAAAATAAGACTTTCTGATGAGGGTAATGTAAAACACCATTTTGTAATATTAGGAAAACTTGTATTCATGTTTTTACAAGAAACATTTCAATTTGAATTTTAAAACTAATCTAATTTGATGATTTTCAACAGGTTTGCTAATATCAGGCTCGAATTTACTCAAAAACAGCCGTAAGTCACCGCGTTCGGTAATCTGCAACCGATTTCTCTTTTTAGTTAGCAACGTTGCCACAGCACTGAATCCACGTTCACACAAATACGATGATGGGAATGCTATCAAAAATCTTCGAACGATGGACCATAATCCAGGGTACAATTGCGGAATTGGCTTTTGTAGCCAAGAATCTTGGTATTCATTTTTTAATTTTATTTTTATTTCCTCGTTCGTTATCAGTTCTACGAGTTCTTCCAGCTGGGGTGATCCTGTTGTGTTGACGTTGTTTGAGAATTTGAAGAAATCAACATTCATTTTGTTCCCTTTTTTAATGTTTTTTCTAACGCCAATGTTTATTGAAATAATTGTACAACATTCACGAAATAAAAACAGTTTTGGAAGATATAAGCAGCCCAGTTTCTTAGTAGAACGTAAGCGGTTCAGACTTTAGTTTTTCTATAACATAATTTGGTAGCAGAACGTCGTTATCGCAATAAAAAACACAACAGACGTTTGAAAAAAGGATCCAACACCGAGTCCAGTATTTCCAATTTCAAAATGTCCTGGAATCGTTCTGCAAAATCACTGTGGAGGTTCTCCAAATTTTGGCAGTAAACAAGCAAGCCGTCGTTGTTGAAGAATACTGTTGACAAATTAGGGAAATTGCGAAACTCACGTCTGTATAAGAGCAATTTGGCTACAAAAGCAGCAATGACATTTTTTGTTTTAATCAAATTCAAGTCGCCACTTTAAAGTTGGAGATTGACATCATTGAATAATTCATACAGGTCTGTCAAGTAAGCATCATTCTTTGAAGTGATGAGGTTGTCATGCAATTATTTGTATTTGTTTTCCAAGAAATCTATTACAGAGTCAAATAGATTGTAAAATCGAGTCAGACAGTTACCTCTTGATAACCAACGCACTTCTGTGTGAAATAGCAATCGGTTGAAATCTTCATCATTAGCAACACAAAGCTGATTTAATAATCTGTCATTTAAAGAGCTGTTTCGGATTTTATTGACTGCTTTGATGATATATTGCAGTGATTGAGAAAGGCGCTCACTCAAATTTTTCGCAACCATATGTTGCCTCTGAATGACGCAGTGTAGAGCGAGCACATCTGCAATTTTATTTTTTAAGTACGCTATGAAGCCATCCGTAGCGGCTGATATAATATTCTTCAGTGGATTTTCTTTCTCATCACAAAATTTATCCAGTGTATTATATATGGTTTCTCCTTTTGTATTGTATCTGAATGCATTTTATTCAAATGATCTTGTAGCCTTGAGGGTTTCATCGCTTCATCCGAAAATGTTTTTGGACAATGAAGGCACCTAGGCGAAGATGGAGTTGTGGGATTTTCAATAATCCATATTTATATATTCCGCGCTATATTGCCGTTTCTTCTTTTTTGCTTTCGACATAATTGTGTCTTCAAAAATGCCAAGGTAAAGAATCGAGTATTAAAAACTTGCTAATGACACCAGTCACAGTATTCACCACCTCACGTATATCACTTTACCTAGCTAGTCGCTAACTAAATTCACTTGTTATCGTAATATCGTCGAATAACATTACTGGCTGGATGGCGCGCGCGCTTTTATATGAGGCAGCGAGCGGGCCTAGTATTTTCGAGAATGGAGACTAGAAACTTCTCGCATTGAAGCTTACCGCCATCTATTGTACAGTTTGACAACTATCGGACAGATTACTGTCTAGTCCCCTAGATGGCGTTACACGAGGAAACGCTCGTTAAGCGTAAAGAAGCGGTAAAGTTTGTGTTGAAGGTAGAAAAAACATTTAAAGTTAGCTATTGCCCCCCTAAACCGCTTTAACACCCCCCCCCCACTTCTCTGTACCCTTTACTGCCACCCCTAAAAATTTTTCAATGTTTTTCTGATTGGAAAACGAAATATTATGAAATATTAGAATAATGATACTTGTGAGTGCTTTTGACTTTCATGTCTGTAAATTTTAAAAAGTTAAATTTTTTTACAGCAAAGAGTGGCGGGCTATTAACAAAAAGAAAAATGTCGAAGTAATTTTCAATCCTTGTGAACCATTACCTGAATCAATATGTGGAAAAAATAAACAAGTCTGTATCAAGCATAATAATACCTTGGTTTTCAGCGGTAATAAATTTGATGGTAAGTCAAAATCTTATTTATACTTAATATGCATTTGAACGCTTCCTCTGCATGTGCCATACCAATCATCTGAAAGTACTGATGAATACTCACAGGGTAAACAACAAAAATCTATTACATGGGCTGAAAAATTTCGAGCCTAAAACATAGATGACGCTAGTCTTATTGCATTCACCGATTTTTCAGTTAGTACTAACCTTCAAAAGAAAGCTATTGAAATTTGATGATATTCTATTCATAGTTTGTGAGTTATTGTGCTAAGAGTGACACCACTTTTGTTATTTTCAAAACAATGTATCAAGAACAATTTCTTGTTTTAATTTAATAGTGCTTTTTGATGGTAAAAATACCGTTCAAGCGAAGCAATGACTTGAAAAGTGTTATAAGGACTTGGCTCCATCAGAAACAACAAATAAACGTTGGTTTGCTGACTTCAAGCCTGATCTTAGGAGCACCGATGATGCAGAACGCAGTGGACGTCTAAATGAGGCAGTAACACCAGAAAACAAAAAAATCCACAAAATCGTTTTGAATGATCAAAAACTAAAGTTGCATGAGTTACCTGACATTGTAAAGATATATTGCATGAGTATTTGACTATGTTTTTGACCAAAAACAAGAACTGTTGACCAAAAACAAGAACGTCATGGTGATTTTGAGCACTGTTTGGCCATGTTCAAACATAAAAAACCGGAAATTTTGCGTCGATATGTAACAATGGATTGAACATGGATCCATCACTTCACTCCGGAATCAAAACGATTGTCATCTGAATGGAGAGCAACTGGTAAACCTCGTCCAAAGCGCCGACAACACTACAATCGGCTAGAAAGGTTATGGCTAGTGATGTACCGAAGGTTCGGCTTACTTACTGACTCCGGCCATATCCGGCCAACCGGCCGGATGTACTGGCTCCGGCAATAAAGGCACCGGATGCAGGCCGGAGGTATTACTTTATTTTAAAAATAAATGAAAACTAAAAATGATACAAAACTTTATTTTACATATTTACATGTTATATAAACAAACAGTCGTAACTACTTACTAGTATTCAAATTCAAAATTTAACTTCGGCCAAAGAGTGCCGGAGTTACTGACTTCGGCCTCCGGCTGAATTCCACCTTCGGTACATCACTAGTTATGGCCTCGCTAATTTAGGATGTGCGTGGGAGTTACCCGTGAATAAATAAATAAATAATAATCATCGACTATCTTGAGAAGGAAAATACCATCAACAGTGGATCGTTTGAAGGCCAAAATTGCAAAGAAACATTTTGTTTCATCAAGACAACGTACCCTGTCATAAGTTAATCAAAACAATGGCAAAACTACATTCATTTAACTTCAAATTGCTTCCACATCCACCGTATTCGCCAGATTTGGCTCCAAGCGACTACTGGCTGTTGGCAGACCTCAAATAAATGCTCAGCGGTAAGAAATTTCGCTCGAATAAAGAGGTCATTGCTGAAACTAAGGCCTATTTTGAGGCAAAAGATAAATAGTTCTACAAAAGTGGTATTGAAATGTTAGAGCGGCGCTGGAATGATTACGTGGCTCTTGATGGAGATCACGCCAGTTGTGAACAAAAAAAAAAGTTTTTTTTTATGCCTGGAACACAGTAAAATAATACAACCAGTAGGCTATATTACCACGCGATCTCCCGAGTTGCCAGGGACCTTCAACCGCTTTTAGGGTGAGATTGTCATCCAACGCGTTCAGTGCTGTAGTATCGAGGGATTCGACGGCCCACGGGCATCGGATTAGTTACAATAAACGGTCAGAAATTAATATTGTGTTTAGTTTATTCGCTGTTGTTATTATTGTTTTTAGTTTTTGTAGTTGGTCATAAGTAATTTACCATAAAATATTCTATAATAACTTTAAATTTCGTTTTTATATGAGCGCACGCCTATGGTAAAAAAAGGAAATTGGCTCCGCAATTCGTTTCGAGGACACCGAGAACTTTTTGAATTTATGAATGAAAGTAGTGGGAGTGGACTTACCTACTGGTTGATTTTTATTTTGCCTGGGACTCATCAGTAGCCCATGTGTTAGATTTTTGTGAACCAAAAATATTGTTACGACTAGTGGGTTCGATATGTTCACTTATTCTCTTTACATGTAACACTCCACCAACACTCTTTTGACACTGATATAACTATTTAAAAGAATAGCAATACCCAATACCTGGATAGCAAAATGGCTCTGTGTATTTGCATTAGATGGCCTAGCAATTATATTTTTTTAAATGGGACACCCCGTATATTAATACATTTTTGGAGTCGCTCTAGTATTTCAATACTTTTTTGTTAATGTCCTATACCTATCTCTATCTGTTTTCGAGATAAAAAATAAATTGTGCTAAATATGGTCCAAAACATAGCCTTAATTGAAATTAAGTACATCAGTACTCTCAATTCATGAAAAGTTGATATTTTGATGATAGTTTGGACAAACTCGAAATATTCAAATAACACCAAGAAATCGACTCCATATCATACAGG